CCAACTTTTTGGGAGGCTGAGGTGTAAGGATTTCCTGAGCCCAGGAGGTCAAGGCTGCAGTGAGCCGTGATTGTGCCACTGTACTCCAGTCTGGGAAACAGAGTTAGACTGACTCAAAATAAATAAAAAAATAAAATAAAATGACAAGAATAATAATGAGTAGTCATGATTTCTGAACATATTTATTTAATTATATTCTAGATATAAATGTCAAGAGTTTGAATTCATTGATTAAGTGTATCTACCTATTTTTCTGGGTTTTAAATTGATTAGCTGATTAACTCGCTATTGCGATTTTATTAGCCATACTTACTTCTAGGAGATAGGACTATGGTAATCTCAAATAATAACAATATGAAAAACTAAAGTTGATATTTACTTTCTAATATACATGCTGCAATTTTAAGTCCCTGATTACATAATTTTACTAATTGTTTATTATAATATTAATGTTTTGATTATTATGTGATTGAGGGCCTATAATTCACCATTAAGTGCCTATCACATCTCAGGAACTATGTATTCGTCTCATGAGGCTATCAAGACCAATTAACTAACCCATAAGCGTTGACTAGGAAGTAGCAGTCACAAAATATTTATTATATTTACTTTCCCGTGGATTTCTCCCATGTGTATATACTTAGTGCAAGGAGCAGTAACTATATTTTTTCTTCAGTGTAATACAAAAGTGATTCATCAGAGCCTTTTACCTGCAAGTTTTACATTTTTTTCCAAATTTTGGGGGAAAATATTCTATCAACATTCCATCAGGGTTTAGTCACATTCTTTGGGCAACTTATTAAGTTGCCTTGAGTTTCATCTCTGTGTTCATAACAGATTTATGGAAGAGCCTGCCTCATGTGTCAGAACGAGGACATTTACAGTCACCTTTATGTGAACTAATTACAGGGTGACTATATAATTTATCATCCAAGTGGGCCATTTTGTGAGTGAAAGGGTGCTAGTAAAAATTATTCCAGGACAGTAGATATAAACCAAGATAGTCCTGGGCAAACTTCAATGAATGTTTAGGCATGGAAAATAGTTTTTATTAATTAATTGACTTGCTGTAGGCATATATTTTTTCTCCATTGATAAATATGAATTTTTTTTCATGATCTTATGGCATAGCATGTCTTGTCTTTACTTAAATGATCTTAGTTGTTAGTTCAAAGTTCGTTTTTGTTGTACATAAGAAGAGTAATAGTGTCATTAAGATATTTGCACATACAGTCATTTCTTATGTCATTAAAGAAATTTGTATAATGCATTGAAATAAGTGAGCTTAGTAAGCTTAAAAATGATATACTATATGACTAAAAACTTTCTTCAGTAAGTAGTTACAGGTTGCAATTTGAGAATGTGAGAAGCAAAAACCTTTGGGAAGCAGGTGTCTTTTTAAAATCACCTTTAAAGAAGGTATATTAATTTTGTTTAATGGAATTACTGTTACTAAATGATATAACATGTGAAAGGAAACTAATACATAGTTCCTGAAATGTGGTAGGCACTTAATGGTGAATTATAGGTACTCAATCACAATAATAATCAAAATGTCAATCATTATAATAAAAAATGAATAGAATGATATAATAAAGGACTTAAAAGTATTTCCATCAGGGGTAAAATAGAACTCACTTAAGTTATTAAAAGAACAATGAGTCTAGAAATTCTCAGAGCATATTTTAAAAAATCATACTAACTAGTCATCCAAAACTTGTAAATGTCATAAAAATCCCTCAGCCTCTGAAAGGCGTCAAGTCATCCAAAACTTGTAAATGTCACAAAAATCCCTCAGCCTCTGAAAGACATCAATATATCAGGTATTCTATAAAAACAATGTTTTAAAAATTATGACAAATACTTTTTAATCACTAAAAATAACATGAATATAATACTCAAAGTAATTGATGAATATTCTGAAGGTAATTTAAATAGCTTAGAGAGAAGGTTTAAGCATATTAACTACAATGAAATTTTCTTTTTGCTATTGACAAAAATGAGAAAAGATAGTTTTGTAGTACTATTGGGGTCAATTTTCATATTTTCTCTGTGCTACCCAGGAAAAGGAGAATATAAATCACTATCAGCATGTGGTTTTTAGATTACCAAAATGTTGCTACCATAAAAAATAGAAAAAACTTTTATTTTTTTCTAAAAACTTCCATTTGACTACAATCATATTTCAAAAACAAAAATCAACTGCTTGTATGTGTAAGTGGCCTGCCTGTGTCCACCAGATGTTTCATTCTATAAAACCGGAATTTAGAGCTAAATAGAAACTGAAAATTTGAGCTGCCGCCAATATTTCAGGAAGTCTAATTAGAACAGAAAACTTCAGAGGGACCCACCAGCAAGAATTCTTAATACTTCAGTATGTTTAATGCATTGACTTTTCTATCTATATATTTATTTATTTAAAGAAAATAATAAAAGATTATTTGAAGGACATTATATAGCTATAGTTCAGTATCATATACTTTACAAAGTTAAATACAGCAAAATAATTACTGCAATGGAGTACTTAAGTAGAAATATGTTAACTACCTGTTCTCCAGGAATCCAAGGGGTTCTAACTTGAACCTTATATACATTGTAGTAATTCATGCCTCTTTAGAAGTACAGAGTCAAAGCCTTTATACTCATCTATAAATTTCTCTCAAATTGAAAACAATATTCTATTGTCCTCATTGTGTAGTGTGGGTGTCATAATCCTATTTCCACCATTTGGACAATATTACTTTGGTCAAGTTAATCAATTTTTCACAGATTGTTTCTTCATCTCTGAAGAAACAGGATATAATAATAGTGGACGGAACATGAACTTTGGTGTCTGAAAGGTAGCCTCTGACCTCTAGAAAGCTTTCTATTTGCTTGCATTACATCTTTGTCTAGGGGACTAAAATTGTTTTGGCAGAGATTTCACTGAGTCTGTGTTTAACTAAGGTTAAACTGAGGTGTTGGTGGGAGTAGCTGGTGAGAGTTTGTAGTTGTAGAACTGAGGCATATGCTACTTAGCATCTCTTAATTTGTTTTCTCAAATACTAAATGAAAATAAAATTGACCATGTATTTATAGGTTGTCAATCAGGAGACATTCCGCCATGCTGTGATACCAAACTACTCCCTAATCTCAGTGGTTTAGAACCCCAAATGTTTATTTCTCATGCAGGCTACACATGTATTATAGTTCACCTGGGTCTCTGTCAATATCACTGGTACTCTGAGAGTGAAGTAATGGAGTAGTCTCTTGGCATGAGTAGCATCTGATGGAAAGATAAGAGAGACATAATAAATGTCACTGACAATAAACCTTCTGCTCAGTAGTGACTTATATCACCAACATTCTATTAGCCAAAGTCAATCACAGGGCCACACCTGAGTTCAACATGAATGGGATGTATAATCCTCCTGCAGGAAGGTATTACAGGTCACATGACTAAGTTAGAAGTGATAGGGGTGAGAAGTATAATTCCTTGACAAGAGGGAGAGAAGAAACATTGAGAATCTAATACACCCTATTCATCTGTTGATAATAACTATTAATAGTGGTATTGTAAAAATGAAATGAGATGTTAAATTCATTAAAAGCTAAATTTTAAATGTATGTTGTTGTTAATACTTCAGAAGGATAAAGGGGGTCGGGCTTGGTGGCTCAGCCTGTAATCCCAGCACTTTGGGAGGCCGAGGTGAGTGGATTGCCTGAGCCTGCGGTCTCAAGACCAACCCGGGCAACTTGGCGAGACCTCGTCTCTATAATAATTACAAAAAATTAGCCAGGTGTGGTAGCGCGCGCTTGTAGTTCCAGCCACTTGGATGGCTGAGGCGGACGGATCGCCGTAGCCCAGCAGGTCGAGGCTGCGGTGGCCCTGAGCAGGCTGCTGCACTCCAGCCTGGGCGACAGAGTGAGACTCTGACTGGAAAAAAAAAAAGGATAAAGGGATAAAGGTAGTGGTGGCTGTGTTTGCAAAGATGTTTAGCTCCCTCCACCAAAAAAGAGGTCTGAATGAGTAGCATAAAAAATTGACTAAATATGAGGGGGGACCCCCCCCAAGACCTGGAATTTAATTGTGTATTTATTCTTACATGTTTGAACTTCAGTCCCCTTCAAAGTACTCTCTGTTTGATGCAATACACCTATCCAGATGCTTTTTCTGCAGCTCAAAACAGCTTTTCAATTCATCGATTTCCTTTTAGCCCTTCTGTTGTTTTTTGTTTGTTTGTTTCATCTGTTCTACATCTGGAAAACATTTCCCTTTGAGGACTTTTTTCATTCCAGGAAACAAGAAAAAGTCTCTGGGGCCGGGTCTGGTGAATAGGGAAGATGGGGTATAGGGGTCATGCCATTTTGGGTCAAAAACTGCTGAACACTCAGCGCAGTGTGGGCAGGTGCACTGGTAAACCACCCATCATGAAATGGGCAAACGTGCTGAATTAATCTTTAAAAAAAATTAACTGAAGCTGAACATAGCCTCTCACAGCAATGTTAGCTGGTACTGTGATACCGATGGGTTCCTAGAACACTTACCTAGCAGGGAAGCCTGTACTCAAGGGGCCCGCCCTCCAAAAATAATTCTGGTTTTTTGGGGAGTGAGTGGGTTCCTCCTCATATATTAAGATAATGTGTTGGTTGATTACTACTGGAGGGAAGCACATCTTTAGAAATACATAAGTAACCAAATACACTACAGATTTTCTTGATTTTTTTTTTTTTTTTTTTTACCAGTGTCAGTGTTTGGTTTTTGTTTTTTTCACTGGAGCACTAAAGATTCACTGAAACAGGACTTGTTAAGTCTAGAATGATCTTACTCAAAGATGGGTTCCTTATGAGCAATAAAGAGAAGAGTAGTGTATTACTCTATGAATTACAGATGGATATCTATTTTCCTGTTTTCCCCCACCTTACTATTTTCTTACTCAATTGTAATACTCAAGTTATTTTTTCTTTATATACAATTCTACTGAACTTTCTATCATCTAAATTTTTTTTGAATTATTTAGTATTGATAAAGCAGATGATGAAGATGATGAAGATTTAACAGTAAACAAAACTTGGGTCTTGGCTCCAAAAATTCATGAAGGAGATATCACACAAATTCTCAATTCGTTGCTTCAAGGCTATGACAATAAACTTCGTCCAGATATAGGAGGTAAGTTTCAGTTATCATTCTGGGATTTGGGTGACTATGGAAAATCTCATCACTGATGCTATTTTAGCCATTTATTTTCTATTTGTTGAGTGTCTGACTTATGTTAGAGATTGCTGTATTTGAAGATTATTGACTGGAATAGTCACTAATGGTTTGAGAAGTTTAAAATGAGAAAAAACAGACATAACAGCATTGTACTGCAATTATTTTACACCTGCTACAACAAAGAATGATAGCAGTGTTTTGATAAAACTGCCTGAAAGCCTGAAATATACTTCATAAAAGAACTAATATTTGAAGATAAGGAAGAATTCCAATTTTGATTTAATTAATGTAGAACTATAAGTCTTGGTAGCATAGTTAGTGTTGCTAATCAACTTTGTTCTTCAAGATTGTTATTCTTGGTCTTCTGTATTTATATATAAATTTTATAACACAAATAGCTTGTAAGTTTCCCCTGTGACTGTTTAAAGCAAAGTCATAAATCAGCAAGGATTTTAATTAATTTATTGTCAATGTAGAGAAATTGTAATTTTTTATATATAATCATATGGTAAAAATTATGTCTTGCTATATTTTATTTTACATTATTTTGTCTCAGAGTTGTTCAATATTTGCAGCCTTTTTTCCAGACAACTGATAATTTCTTTCAAAAGGTAATTTTAGGCTGGCTTTCTTTCAATTCTGGGAAGATTTATTTACTTACTTAGTATTATAAAGTTGAATATTAGTTTTGTTGTATTGTTTTGGTTTTCTTCTTTATAGATTTCAATTACAAGCATGTTACTCATACTTTGCCTTCCTTGTATTTGCACAATTTTCTCTGTAACTCTCTGCTTCTTTTTATCTCATTTCTATTCTTTTGGTATTTTTCTGGCCTATTATTAAATCATTTTAGTAGAGCAATTGCTGATCATCTTTTGTTTTGTCTTTTCTATTTCCTTAAGTTCAATCAATTTTCTTTTGTGCCTGTTTGTATGTGTGTGTGAGGGGATGAGGGATAATTTATCTTGCTTAGTTTCTGAATTGTTTTGTTCAAGGTGATTTTTCTTATGCTTAAATGTTTGCTTGAATACATTTAACTGCTTGGAGTATTTTCCTTCTTCTGCTTGATGCTTTTTTTGTGGGGATTTTTCACAGTTGATTTGTGTTGGATCTTCATTTCTTCTTTCTGCAGCAATCCTTTTGCTCCATTTATCTTGAAGTTTGTAGGTGTTTTACAGGATTCTTAGCTCATGGAAGTCCTTAGATGTCATGATAGCAAAGCCTAGACACTTTAAATGAATTTGGTTGTTGTTGGTGTTTTGTGATTAGGGAGAGGTTATACGGCTTTCAATTTATTAATTTTCCTTTTGCTCACATAAAATTCTTTACCTATTTTCTCCTTCACTGTCTAGTTTCTTAAGCACATTTCTCTTTTCCTTTTTGACATTCTTTTCCTTTTTTTCTCTGCCCTGAACCAACCAGCTTTGAAGACCATTCTTTCATATCACACATACTTGTAAATCATTTTCCTCTTTCTTCTAGTTATGGTCTCAAAAGACATTTTAAAAATGTTTTCAGATCGAAGGTATACTCATTTTCTCTAGGGATCCTTTGGATTTTCCTTAGTCCCATCACTGACTTCCTTCTTCTTCTACGTAGTGCATTTAAGACTGCCATGCTCACCACAAAATGTTAAGGACAGGTGAGACAGCACTTGAGACATTTCTTGCCAGGATTTGGCACAACTGAGGAAAAAGAAAAAAAAAAAAACTGAGGAGGTGCTTCTAGCTTAGTCATTTTTCTTTGGCGTGCTTTAGAGCCACAAGAAAAGGAAACATCCTAGACATGCTAACGAGCAGGTGTAGACGCTCTACTGCTTTTTCTTCTTTAAATCCCACCACTTCTCTCCTTCTTTCCCCCTGATTGAGTGTGAAGTAGGAGCAGGCTGCCAAGTCTGCTGCCTAAAGAGATGTTTAAGTAGAGAGTGAGAAATGAGCCTTCCATTCTCTTGAGCAGACATTCTCAGGAACATATCCATTCATCTGTCTTTCGATCAATTGTGTGTGTGTGTGTGTGTGTGTGTGTGTGTGTGTGTGTGTGTGTGTGTGTATCCCTCACGATGGTAGAATGAGAAATACTAATTTATAATAAAATATTTTACATTCCATATGAAAATGCTCAAGCGTAGCTACGCTGAATGAAATGATGAAGCTGCCAGATGCTTGCATTTATATACAGAATCACTAGTTATTGGAAAGTTAGGTAAGGTGATACAGGTATATAGTATTGGTGACTCTAATACTATGACAAACATGGTCACTGGTGAAAGGTAGCATAAAATAGTGTATACTCTTGGTAAAATTCAGAACAAAATTAATTCCATCTTTCTATGTTTTATACAATATTGCATTCTTGAATTCAGGAAACTTCTGAAAAACAAAAATATTTTGTGTTTATGTGGAAAAATGTTATCTTCTAGGATCAGATTATAACACATGCTTTTTTTTACATACATGAATTCTAGACAGGGTATTCAAAATCTTGTTAAATGCAAAACTTTTTATGTTGCATGTGTCTGTTTTATGAATTTCAAGAACTTCATCCTCTAAATGCTGTTATTAACAATTTCAAGTTTTGTGACAAGTACAAGCAGTTACACAGAAATTTGCAAAATAAAACCAGTTAAGAGTTGTTCAGTAGAACTCTCTGCAATAACAGAAATGTTATGCAATGCTTACTTTTGTAACTTCTAGCCATATGTGGTTATTCTGTACATGAAATGTGATTAGTGTGACTAAGAAGAAACTTTTTTATTTATTTTAATTGCAACTAATTTTGATTTAAACGTAAATGGTTATACATATATACGTTATAAGACTGTATTGAATCTATTTATCCATGTGTGCTTTTCTCTTCACATGTATCCGTTTATCCAGATGTAAGCTGAGAAGGACATTGTGGATAGTGGTTGACATTTCTTTGTTCTTGAGGCTCAGAAGAAGACTCAGGACACAAACTTGATATCTCTATTTGGGTTGAGGACCTCTGTTGTCTAATCTAGAGAAATAAGAACATATTAATCATAGTTATTTCAAAATCCATGTATAATATGGACCTGATATTTTCTTTGTTGAAAGATGTTTAATTACAAATTCAATCTCTTTAATAAACACAGGTTTTCTGTTCATCAGATCAAGATTTTATTTTATTTTTGTCAATGTTACTAACTTATAATTTTGTTTTTATTTCTATTTATTTTAACATTTTAAAAATAATTTACTTCTGATTCACAGATTATTTAAAATGTTCTTAATTTCTAAATATTTTGGAATTTTTACAATTTTTTGTAAAACAACAACAACAACAATTTTTTTTGTTGTTGACTTTTGTTTTAATTTTGTTGTGGTCAGAAAAACTACTCATGTTATTTCAACCTTATATAAGCATGATGCAATCATCAACACCAAAAACAATTGTTATACTACTACCATTGAATACTCTGGTACAATTTCTAATTGTTTCTATAATATATCTACAGAAGTAGGATCCAGTTCAAAAATATCATTACATCTAAAAAAATTTTTTTTCCTTCTCTGGTGAATTTTACCAAATAGGTAAGAAAGAACTTATAAAAATCTTACACAAATTCTTTCAGAAAATAGAGAAAGAAGGATACCCAATACATTTTACTATGCCAGTATATTAATGATTATAAAACCAGACACGGACATTATAAGAAAAGAGACTAACTTATATTTCTCCTGAGTGTTTCAGTTGTGAAACAATTGGTATTTTGAAGGAATTATTTGCAGATAGAAGCAGTTGACGTCTTGAAAAAACTTTCAGAAAAGCTTAATAGAGTTTTGAGCACAGCTTGATAAATATAAATCTGTATTTGGGCAAGGACCAGAAGAAATCCAAAAGCAATCAGTATGTAAGAATGCTTACACCTGGTAGTTGCTTACTTTCTTGAAATTGTACCTATGACATTTGCAAACAATAAAATACTTGCTGCATACTTTTTTTAAAACGGAAATAAAATTCATATATCATAAAATAAGGAAACAACAAGTCTGTATGTAATCACTGAAATATCTGGATACCTGAGACTGCTTTTTTAATACCTATTTTGAGATAACAAGAAAAATTTGTAAAACTTACTTTCCAGGATTAGGACTTTTAATTGAGCTAAATTAATTTTAATATACAAAAATGACCAAAAGGCTGCATAATCTGCTAAAGATATCATAGAGAAATTGGTATAGAACGTACAAGGAAGCATGGCTAAGATCAGTTACAAAGAAAATATTTTAAGAGCCTAGTTTAGCTTATATTTTCTGATTAATGAAGCCACCTTGCGAGCTGACTCTCCTTAGTTCTGACTTTGCTGCCTGGAAACTGAATGTGAAAACCTTGTTGATCTCACTGCTTTCTTCTTTTTAAATTGCTACATTTTCCTTCTGGTTTTTGTTCTGGAGATATTCTTTAAGTTGCCTTGAACTTCTATTCTTTCTCTGTACTGACTCCCCCTGGGAGTTTATCCACTTATATTCCAGTGAGCTACTTAAAGCAAAGTACTTAGAATCACAGCACAGAAAGAGGTCTTGCAAAAATAATCCAGTGTCATCTCTACCTGTCTTCCACACATAAAAAATGTAATTTGCTGTGACAGTACATAGTTTTCTCAAGCATTGTTATACTATTGCAAAGAAAGAGATCTTTGATCTCCATGTGTATTGATGAATTAAACATAGCCTGTACCCACTTCAAGACATTATTTAATGAATCTGGAATGACAATTCCCTTTTAGCTTCATTTTTCTACTTTTGAATTAAAATATAATGTCTTCCTTTGTGAACATTGCTAAAATCCTACCATTGAACAAACTTTGAAGTGAGAAAATAAAAGTGCTAAGAAAATGTACTTACTCAATTTCCAAGAAGCACATACTTTAAGTAATTTTAGCTGCACGTATTATTCATAGTATGAATCAAAGTAGTGGTAGGTCATTATTAAGAAGTAATTACAGATTTCTGCTGTTTTTTTCTTAACTACATATTTTGAGGGATATTACTAGCTGTAGTTACAAAATTAAACTAAAATATTTTAGCTTATTTTCAGGTTTATTCTTCTCATGTTTTGGGACTGCAGATTCAAGGACCAGATCAAATACCAGCATTCGAAAAATATAAAATGGGTACAAGGTCACTCAAAAATGGCTCATCATTTACAAATATGTTTTTAACGATTCTTAATTATTTTCTCTATCAGTAGCAAAAGTCTATAATATATTAGAACTACTGAGAGAAATCTTCTTTTGTCTCATCCCAGGTGCATTTGCTTTATGTTGATCAAGAAATACCTCAGTGTCTCTGATGCTTTGTAACCCATGACTTAATGCCAGTTAATATTTTTCTAACATACATAAGTTTATCTTATAATTATGTAAGACAGATTGGTGTCAGGAAACCAGACAGCTCACTCATATCTATATTGTAAATGTGAAAAGCATGTTCTGTAAATAAAAATGCTTTTAGAAATCATTTCTTCCTCAAAGACAGTGTCAGCTCTGAGTATTGTAGAGAAAAAGCAGGCGCTCCTCAGTGTTTGTTGATTTATCAGTTTAACTGAAAAAAAATCTAATTACATAAGAGTGATATATTGCTTCTTCCAGTTATAATTGCTTATTACCGGCAATAAAGATACCTATGAATGGAACTAATAAATCTATTTTCTTGTTGTTAATTGGATTTCATAAAAACCATTCTCTAAATCTTCTATAATTAGCTTAATTATATTTTTATTGGCTAAAATTCATAGTAGTCAGAAACAAATGACAAATGGTTAAAGCAACTCATCTCAGACGTCATCAGCCTAAGTTGGGTTGTAAAACCTTCTATCAATCATATGACCTGGTTTTGTTTAAGATAGTTAATTATTGGTTAGTGGCTCCAATTACATTTTCAGTATTGAATAGGTTTAGAACCTTATGGTTTTGCATACTAAAACTAAATCTCATTTATTTTTCTTGTTAAGAAAATTGGTATGCCAAGTAGTCAAAAAATTTGCTTGAGGAAAACAAGCTTTATAAGTGTCATGTGTTTTCCTAAATGTAGTTTTTTTCCTAATTACAAGAGTAAAACAAAATATTGTTATAGTTATGTAGACACTGTTTTGCAAAATGCCTGAAATTTTCCATGGAAGTTTGGTAGCTTAAAGGCTTTGCCTGACAGAAAAAAAAAAAGAAGCCAAGACGAAAACTGAGGCTGGACAGATACTCAGCCCAACAGACGTGGTTATGTGTCAGAGGATGAAGTGCAACCTGCCTGGGAAATCACAACATTGGAATTTTAAGAGTTATGAAAAACTAGGTCAGAAAGAGAAAACAAGTGATGTTTGTAAAGGAGAACTGGGCCGATTTGATTTAAAACATGACACAAAAACAGAGAAACTTTCAATCTAAAGGTCATTTTTTTTCTGCTTTATCTCACATTCTTTATCTCTATGCAATTCTCTGTGAGAGATGGGACAGATTTTCTTCTAGAAATGTTTTCCTTTTTCCTTTCTACCTTATGAATAATCTTTTACACCGCTTCCTCAATATGTATTTGCTGAATCAATAAATGAACCCTTTATCTCTTATTTGGTTGTGTTGATGGAGGTAGTAAAAATAACTATGTAAAAATGCTCTTTACAGCAAACAGAAAAACATATAAATATACATCATTATTATAGTAAATCCAATTATAGAAAGCCAAAAAAACCTGACAATTGTTGAAAGCATAAATCATAATTAGATATGGCACTATTATGTATATTTATTACTAATATTATTTAATAAGTATTTAAAAATCCTGACCAGTGTTACACATTTTGACATAATATAAAACTATTGCATGTGTTATTTAAAGACTGACTGGAAAAACACTAATGGTTACATATAAAACACAATAGATGAGGTTCATAATGATGTCTATACGATAGGTAAAAACATGCCTGTACACTGGAGATAACTAAAAACAGCTGTTAGTTAGGAATACTGCTACTAAAAGAGACAGGAAGAAGGCATGAACAAATATTATTAAAAGTCATACCTGGAGGTAGTTTCTTAACATACTTTATGTCCTTTAATCCTTATAACCGTACTTGAACTTCCAGTGTGTGTTGAAACTGACTCATACTGGCTCACAATAGCCCCTTATTATATATTGTTTCAACTCTGCTTGGATGATTTCACATTGGTATCTTTATTTTTTTATTTTTTATTTTAAAATTGTGGGGTACAGTTAAGGGTTAGGTATACAAATATGCATCATTCAGTCACCCTTGTTGAT